AAAAAAAAAGCCCCAGCCAAGCTCCTCCCCTTCTCCCCCCACGCACTCCCGCCTCCATCCCATAATATGCCCCCGGTGCCTTGGAGACGGGTCCCACCTCCGTCACCTCAGTAACCCCCCCTCAACTGAGGCATCCCATAATACTTCCCTGCCCACCAAAGTACCCGCTCGCAGCCCGGCTCTGCATCCCATAATAACCACTCCCCTCCCCCTTTCCAAAACATCCCATAATAGTCCCTGCGGGGGACCGTCCAGTAATACACGCTCCCCCCCTGCGGAAACATCCCATAATACTCACCCTTACTCATACACACCACAATAGTCACCCTTCCCCCCACCGAGGCATCCCATAATAGTCACATTCTCTCCTTTCTCCCCCCTCCTCCTCCTCCCACAGGCACCGTCTCACTGCCCTGAACATCCCGTAATAGTCACCACTACCTACCCTCATCCCCTTGCCTGGCTCTTCCAACCAACCCACAGTAATCTCTCCCCACTCACTCCTTCCCTGGCACATCCCATAATAAGTGCACGCTGGCTGCCAAGTCTGGCATCCCAGAACAAGCCCTCCTCCTTTTTGCATCCAGCCCTGCCTCACTGAAATATTCCAGGAGCCCCCATGGCATCCCATAATAGGCACACCCAGGACATCCCATAATATCAACCATTTTCACCTCTCTCCTCCCCCTTAGCCAGGCATCCCATAATAGTCTCCGTCCAGTGAGACATCCCATAATACTACCAGCAACTCTTAGCCACAGCCTACAATGCTCGCACTTACTGCATCTCGCTCTCCCTTCACGCAGCCCATAATAATCACTGTCACACTGTTCTTCCCCTGTCAAGAAAAAGCAGCAGGAAGAGAGGGCCCTGCTCAAGGGTCTACAGCACCCAGGGACCCCTCCGGATCAGCACCTTTCTACAGACAGCAACCCAAAAACCACTTGGCAAATGTATTATAAATGTTCCCCATCCCCCCACTGAACACACAGACCATAATAACCGCTGGGGGCATAGGGCCAATAGCCTATCCCATAATACTCTAGCAAAGCCTGCCAGGAATCTCCATTCCTCCTTCAAATGATGCAGACTCTGCACATCCCATAATCTTTCATAGACTCCTATACAGTAGGGACATGAGAAGTCAGACCTTAGAGTCTGACTACTACAAGGCCCCAAGACAGATTTCACCTTTCCATAATTCTTTCAGACAGTCTGACAGCACAGTGATACAGAGAAAGTACGCGGGGATAACTCTATATCTAATTATTACAGTATGTAAATACTAACTTAAAACAATCTTCAGTCACTGACACCCGTGTGAACATTTCTTGATGGATACTCATTCTACTTTTCTATGTCTAGGCTTGAAAAAAAATCAGTCCACTTCAGTTTTAAAACTTAGCCTTGCTGGTGCCTAAGTGCCTAATTAAAATTGTTCATGATTATTTCTATGTGCATAAGGCACATCCCATATGATTTTATAACCACTTCTTCTCAGATATCCTTACTGTCTTTTATAAATGTCAATACAAACATTCCAGAAAGCTACATAACTGCAAGTGTAAAGTCTTATTTTAAACATAACAGAGATCCCATTACTGACCTCCAATGGTAATCAGTAATACATTCAACCTATGTGTTATCTTTCAAAATGTTCCATACCCTAATGACATTTAACGTACACGGAAAGCTAGACACAAAAATCTCTAGTGTTGCTATGCATTTCAGTGCTAAAGAAAACTGGTAACATTGATAAGTGGGTAGCATCTTTGCTCATTATATCTGTCCATTCCCTGACTTAAAGGAACTCATCTTTATCTTGCTATCTACCACTTTTTCTTACTCTAGTATTTACACTAGAAGGCAGTTTCATTGGGAATATATCTTAAAAAGAACACACTGGTTTATTAAATTTAACATAGCCCATAGACATTAAAAATTACTGTTAATAGCATGTTCCATTTATCCCCAAACAATACGTGGGATGGGATAGCAGATTTGAGATCAATGGAAATCTGATGGCCAGTTAATGTCCAGTGCCACTGGGGCAATCCCTGGTCCTGAGACCACGCTTTTGGCATTATGGCACAATAAAAGTTAGGAAACAAAAATACACTGTCCCTCCCCGCCACAGCGGAACATAATTTTGACAAATGTTGCAAACACAACATCTATACACATTATGAGGTTTTGGCAGGGGTCCCACTACATGCGAGCATACAGGCAAGAAATATCATGACAGAACTGAGAATTACAGAGAAAAGACACTTTGCACAAAAGGGAAGCATGTTTTACGTGCAACCTTCCCCATCCCTGTAAGAAATATAGGAGAATAAAGCATCAGTAGTTTTCCTCTATAGTCTTTACAGCTGTTTTGCTACTAGACTTCATACTTAAACACCCATCAGCAACTCCCTCTCCACTTCTGCAATGAAAGGTGCCAGAGCAAAGCAGCTCAGACAGGCAGAGGAGAGGAGGGCTGGGGATCAGGAAGCAGTTAAACTCTCTGTTGGTAAATGCAGGGCAGTTCACATTAATCAGAGTGGCTAAGCAGTCAGGATCGCTTTTGCTTTGCCCAGGCTACCTGGAGCAGAATACACATTTACTGCAGCCCCATTAGCTCTGTTTAGGGGGAGAGAGGATGCCTAGGTAATAGAGAGGATACCTAGGGGGCAGCACTGTTTCCCGGCCACTCATTGCAGTCCTTTGGACTCCTCACAGGCAACCCTTCAACCAGTGAAGTGGTAAAGCCAATCCAACTCCTACTTCAGAGCACAAGGGATGCACGTTCATCAGCAGGGATCAGTGTGAGCCTAGAGGGTATTCTGTGGAATTGCCAACCTTCCTGTTTTAATCGTGAAGATATACACATATTTTACTGCTAGCATCAATTTCCAGGATGCAAGAGTCCTGTGGGACAAGGTATTTGGTTAAATTATTAAATTATTAAATTAAATCATTAAATTATTACCTTCCTAGGAATTCTGGAAAATATATAGGGAACTTCCACAAGAGGATTGTGCACCAGCTCAAAACTAGCTTCAGATATCAGCGACCCCATGACATAAGCAGAGCTGATTTATTTCTGGCTTAGCTACAATGTGTTTGAAGCCTCAGTAAAAGTAGTATTTTGTTGAAATTGTAAAACTCTGTGGAGCTGGGGGCAGTACATTTCCAATCTGCAGAAATTCTTTCCACACCCTGACTCCTGGAATTCAGCTGCACTTGCAACTCCCCTGTTAACAGGACCTTCAGATCTGAGCTGCAAAAAAATCCAGATGACCACTAGATGGTAGCAAAGAGTTAAAAGTGTTATATCCATTGATTGCTATCTTGTGAGTATCTGGAGTTTTGCTGCTCAAATCTGATAGCCCTACCCTCATAAGAATCACTCGAATTGTTTTGCCAACAACCAAATACACACATTTGAAATAAGGGCACAGGAGAGGCTGCAAGACATTTATTTTATTTCCCTTCCGTAAATGAAGCAGGAGTGAGAAATTTTTGATTTCTCCAGGACCTGCAGCACTTGTGGAAGAGCAATTATTCTTTGCTCCTTGTTTTCAGCATTGTTATAACAGTCTTAAACTACTTTTAAGGGACTGGGGGAATGGAAACAGCTGGAGATATAGAAGTGCCCCTAGTTTCAATGCATCTGAAATGCACCAGATTAGAGAAGACTGTCCTATCCAATTAAGCTACAATGGCAGCAAGCATGTAGTCACCGAGTAATTCACAAGCCACTGCTGGTGAAGTTCATCCACCTGATACAGGATTCTTCAGTAGTCATCTACTGAAGAATCCTGTATCAGGTGGATGAACTTCATACATGGCTCTTCCTGCTAGTAGCAGTGGTTAAACAAACTATAGAAACTCCTTTTGTGTTTTATTGACTACAGTGTGCAAACCAGGCTTTCTGACTTTTCCCTTCCTAGGAAGCCAACTTTAAAAGTCATGGTTTATTTTTAGTTCCCAGTTCTGGGTTGTTAAGAGGTTAACATACAGAGCATTCCTGGCTTGCATATTATACTAAACAAAATATGGAGGAGTTTTCATTTAGTTGTTTAGCAATTCTTGTTAGCAGGAGAAGCCAAGCATCAAGCAGTATGTTAGTGTGTTGGAGGTGAAATAGATAATTACATCTTATGATATT